ATGCGACTCGCCGAATATCTCACGGCGCTTCGCGCTTGGTGATGTGAGAGCCTGGTCCGGTGAGAACCCGGCGTGCTCCGTCCCGGCATTGTAGGGATGCGAGGTCAATGGTCTAACGACTACGGCATGCACGACTATGAGTACAACCCCCCTTCATGGCGCAGAACTGGGCACAGAGCCACTCCCATCGTGTCCTGGCCTGGTGTCAACGATTGGCGTGCTTCCAAAAGGGGACGGGATGCTAACCTCACGCGCACTCAAAAGCCCTGCACCATGCTCGGCATGCTATATAGGATAACAGCACCGCCGTAACACTTCTCCTACCGTAGGTGACATGACACAAGATACCACACCCGCTGGACCTGGACTACTCCACGACGGAGAGGATGCAAACAATTGGAACAATGCGTTTTCGGAAAGATCTCCACGAGACGACTCAAACACCGCCGTTTTCGACCCCGCCGCTGTTTCTGGCTGTGGAGAAATCATCGAGGTGAAAACCCGTCTTGGGAGTGCGGTATCTTGTGTCATCTGAGGTATCCCTGTTACTACCGCATGCTGCGACCGCAACCGCGACCGCCTCTGCTTGAAGCAGTCGTGACTGCTGCTGCTGCTGCTGCTGCTACTGCTGCTGCTGCTGCTTGTTTCCTCCCACCTGGTAGGTTGACGCCATTTGCCGCAGCCTTCGGCTGGGAAAATCCCCCTCGCCGCACGTAAGAACGTAAGACTTGCCGCCGAGGCCTCCCGCCTCCGGTGCTAGCTGTGCCTAAATCAAGACGAACAGGGGGCGGACGTGCTCATGTACAGTCGTGGCTCCGTTATGAAAGGGTGGTGTGATAACTGCTCTCCAACCTCTTGTATCGGAGCCCCCTCTTGTATCGGTATAAGAGGGTTACCCTCTTGTATGAGGGCGCTCCACAGTAGGGTAACCTCTTGCAAAGGGAATATCGGGAACTCTCGGGCAACAAAGGCACTTTGACTACGGCAGAGCGTACCAGTATGCCGTGTAGTGTGTAAGCATGTAGTAGTGTGGTGGGGTGATTGCCCGAATTCACACGCCCAAAGCAAGCCGGGTGATTGTGATCGTATCGGCAACGCTTTCCAACGCTTTCCGATTTGTATTTAGTTCATGGAGTGGAAACATCTGCAGAGAATAAGTGCCTCGCAGCCAAGTTGACGCAGCCGTTTGACTAGGATGTGCATCTTCACGCATGCATTTGAAACGCATGGTCAACAGAGTCAAACAACACGTTACAACCCTTCGACACGGTACAAGTAAGTATTCTTTTGCACCAACAACCGTTCTACCTCCCCCTGGCCCCTGGCGCACACAAACATATACATACACATCGCCCACATTTATTTAGAGGAGGACTACTTCAGGTCTGCTGCGCTGCAGGTTTTGACCCGCACGCTCAAGGAACGAAATTCTAGCCTAGCACAAACAGCCCCCTGCTTTTACTTAGCGCCACGATGTGTGTGTCTTCGTGTGTGTTTTGTTGTACCTTAATTATTTGCATCGACCGCGCTAACCAGCTAACCAATGACAAGACGTCAGTCTCAGTGCGGCTAACATAGAAAGTGCTTCGAAAGGCCAAGGTCTGGTACCCCATGAGGGAGTGCAATCGGGGGGGCTAAGCTACTCTCCAGATTAAAGATAGAGACGTGTTGAAACCAGGAAATAGGTATCTTCCCAGTGGTAGGGACGCACATACAACCGTAAGATCTGTGACCCGAGGAACGACGTTCTCGATTATTCACCACTCCAGGGACCTTCACTCATAACGGAGTAAGGGTATTCTCACAAAGACGGTAGCGATAAAATAAGAAGAGAGAAGGAAATGTCCGGGGTTCGAATCTCCCCTTTAGCATATTCTTTGCGCCCGAATTGTATGAGGAAGAAAAAGCCTCGGAAAATAGGCTTCGCAAAACAAGCCGATGGACCTCTTGTATCGATGGCGATTTCCGGGCAAGACATGGCTGATCACAGAGATGGCAACCCTGAGGCGACGTGTTCGTGGCTGCAAAGCCAGACCGGGGCACTAAATTTTGCTGGAAAGCACGATGACCACTACACCACTAGTCAGCGCTGACTAGTAGTCTGGTGGTCATCGTGCTTCTCAACAAGCTGCACGTGTTTACCCGAGGCTGCTACTTGCTGACTAGTAGTCTAGTGGTCATCGTGCTTCTCAACAAGCTGCACGTGTTTTCCCGAGGCTGCTACTCTGCACATGTGTTCGTTTCGGAGTCCTTCCATCATCTTTGCATCATCCTCCTTGCATTTGCCACCAGTTTCACCAAAACACCCCTATTCCTTGGCAGCCCCTCTCTGGTATATTCTTCCTGCGGTGTTTGTTGTGAGGAAGGTAGGTGTGTTTGTGTGTGAGCGAAAGGCGACAGTCCCTAACTTACAAGCCGTTAGTGGGGTGATCCCACCAAAGGGTCCGGGCTCTGCACAAGAGGGTAACCCTACTGAAGCGAGTCGAGCCCGTGACAACCGATTTCGAACCTCTTATATCGGAGCCCCCTCTTGTAAGGTACCCTCTTATAACGGAGCCACGACTGTAGTCATGTATTGCATGCCTTTGTTGTTTGGAGACGAACAGGGGGCGGGCGTACTCATGTTTTGCATGCCGTATCTGTTTGACCATTGACCACTGACCACGCGTCCCTGAGAGAGGATGAAACATTGTCCCCGCAGGACTGATCCACGATGGCCAATCGTCCGTTCCTACTTTGCCAAAGGTGTCTCAAAAAATATTTTCTCTTTTATTCTATTTCTTCGTGTCGATATCACTTTTCTCGCCTTTTCAGGGAGGGGAAAACGTGCAGAAGAACGGGAGGGAACAAGCGCGGGCAGAGGGCAGAGGACGCAGGGGCCGGGGGGGGCTCCGCAGGGAATGCGCCTCCCATCGAAATCAAGGGGGGTACGCTAACGAGGAAGCGCCGCGCGTGTTTTTGAACGGCGCTCCGCGGTGAACGGTGCGCACGCCGAAGTTATCGAGGCCGGATCAGTGGACTAACCGGGGGGACATTCGTTGCTGAACATCGTGCTACTTTCGGAAAGACGGACGCCCTACTGGGCACGCGCCACGTCCCCCCCCCTCGCCCCGCCCCCCACCCCCGTGCTTCCTTACTACTACTAGTTCGCGTTTTTCCTCTCTCTTGGACTCGCCGTGTTTCTTGGAAAGCGTAGCCTAATTATCTGGGAATCGAACAATGGGTAGTACAACACGCTCCGGCCACTTGATGTCGCTTCCAACAATGCCACTACCTGAAGGAGCAGCTGAAGGCACAGCTGCGTTTTGCCGGCCCCCGCCTCTCCGGCTATCTGCGATGCATCGTTCAGGCACAGGCCGGTCGGTCGTGGCGGACAGAACGTTAGATCGAGGCAAAGAAAGAGACAAAAGACAAGAATACTGACGAGTGGGTGGACGTGAGTACAGCAGTGTGTGTTGAAAACCAAACCAGGGATTCTTCGGTGGAGTGGTGGCGGGAGGACAGACAGACGAGAGAGCCGAAAGATAGTCACCTCCGTGATGCCCTGCACGCGAACCCCTCCTTCGAAAGCCGCGTCTAGGCTGGGGCACCCGAACGACAGCCTGTCCAACCTCGCCGCGTTTTTCAACATGGCCAGCGCGGTCGTGCACTCGGGCGCCGTGCCCGCGAGCCAGGGGTCAGGCTTGTTCGATTTCCCGGAGAGTCGGTGCTGCTGCTGGCCTGAACGACCGTGTTGAGTGAGACACAAGAAAGATGGTTACCAACAGGCAAAGAACGAGCTGATTACATTGGCCTAAACGACCATTTGGAGTGAGGCACAAGATCGCTACCAACAGGCAAAGGGAACGAGCTGATCACATTGGCCTAAACGACCTTGAAGTGAAGCAAGATGGGCATCAACAGGCACAGGGCAAGAGCTGGTTACATTGAACTGGGTGGTAGTGCCAAGACAGTCTGAACCTGAACCTCTTGGCGTTGCAAGTTTAGCGATACTTTACCCGGGAGAACCTGGAGAGCAGCACATGTACCATCAACTTACGTGTGGCATCCATCTTCACGCCGGCTGCACGGGTAGGCGGAGGAGGGAGGCGTACTCTTATGTTTGGCATGCCGTAGCGGTTAGACCATTGACCACGCGTCCTCGAGAGGACAGGGCATTGTTCCCAGAGGGCCGATCACCGATGGCCAATGGTTCCTTCCTGCTTTGCCAAAAAAGGCATCTCATTTTTTTTTCCATATTTGTCGAAATCACTTCCCGTCTTTTCAGTCCATCTTCTATGCCCCAGTAGAGCTACCGTATTCTCCCGGCTCTTCCACGCGGGTAGGCGAGGGGACGGGATGACCGCGGCCATCTTAATCGAAAAAAGTTGCTGCACATAGGTAGAAGTAGCACCGTTCGAGGCAAAGTCATCTCTGAGTTTCGTGGGGAGCAGATTGTAACTGAGAGAGGTCGTTTACATCTCCTGTTGTTCGTTTTGAGGCTCGAACGAAAAACTATGAATAACAAATGGCAAAATGGCCATGCTTGCCCATGCAAGGCAGAAGGGGGATCGCCTTTTACTGCTGTACAGTAGGGGGCCCGATATAAGGCGGTTGTGTGCGTGGTGAACATAATCGCCATGTATCGGGCAGTTCCCTTATTCGTAAATGAGGCTGTAAACCGCCTTTTCCAGGGCACAATAGAAAGGCTCAAAAATAATTACCAAGGATCCTTGAGGGAATTTCCCGTGGGAAAAGTACTGCGGGAACTCCACGGGAAGAGTAGTTGGTAACGTTTTATCGTGATAATTCGCAGTTGTTACAGCATCCCCCCAAACCATTTTCAAGCAAATGGCCTTCTCCCATCCCCATCCAACACATTTACGGTGCATCGCCGCAGGGTGTTGCCATCCACCGGTACCGTGCATAACGTGGTGGCCAAATACTATACCACACAAATATTACGGTGACTTACCGTGGTGGCTGGTTCCCGTAAGGAAATGCCGTGGTGGCCAGTTACCACCCCAGTATTACCGTGCATTACCGCGGTTGTTGGTTGCCGCAAGTAAACTACCGTGATGGCCAGTTACTATCCAGAAAATACGTGATTTGCAGTGGTCGATGGTTCCCGCCAATCGTTCCTTAAGAGAAGTCGGTCCGAGAGGAGCCTTGAAATTTCCAAGTCTCCTCTCGGTAACGATTCTCAGTTCGGTAACGTTTGGTACGGGAACCAACGAATACGGTAGTACACGGTAATGGTTGGGTGGTAACTGGCCATCATGGTAACATTTGGGTGGCAACTGGCCAGCACGGTAATGCACGGTAACATTTTTCTACTTCCGTCGGGGCCCCCTGCTGTACCGGGAACCCCCGAGATCTCCGTAGATACACCTAATAACGGGGATCATGGGACTCCAAAAACCAGATCAAGTGGCGAACTTGCGTGGCTCTTGCGAAAAAGTTTAACCGGGTGCTCACATGTGAGTTACAATGATGTACCACCACACCCTCTCTTTGAAACTGTGTGACGCAATATACCACCACCCCCTCTTTGCTTCGTTCTTATTGCTTCAAGCGGCGATGCGATGGCACCGGACGCGGAAGGCAGTCTCTGTTGTTCAGTATTGCACGATCAAGTGCGCGTCGCAAAGGTGTTGCTTGCCGAACGCATACATACCGCCGTGTCAAGACGTCGTTGCACAACAGCAGCAAAAGTGGGTCAGTCAATTAAAATCAGCAGCCGGCAGTGGTCGTGGTAGTGGATCCCGCGGTCTGCCGTCCAATCCAGCAGCAAGGGCCAGGCTGCAGACATTGCAAATACTGGTGGCATTTTTCGGGCGGTCTGGGTTTCTTTAGTTGCTTCGCAGAATCCCCACCTTGTCTTTCAAAAAGTGCTGTGCTCTCATCGTCGTGTGTCGGTGATGGGCCTGAGAGAGGTGGCTGTGGGTCAGGGGTTGAAACGGGCCAACTAGCACTTTCCATTTTCAAAATTTGAAAACAGGACAGGAGAGAACAAGCGTGTGATGCTTGCTGTACACCACTTACCGTGAGGAGGTTGCCGTCGATTTACTCCGTACTGGGGTCCTGGCGGACAACCCACGCCACGTATGCCACCACCCGACACCAATCGCGAGCGAGAATCCATACTCATGGACTTCCCGTTGCTCGGTGCTGGCCGGCCAACAGCAGGAACACGGCAGTCCGTGTGGCACAGCAGATTATCGGAGGCAGCAATTGGCAGATCCCCGTGGTTCCAATAATCATTCCGCGGCGCCCCCTACAAAACGGTATGCATGTGCTGCGGACTCTCTGCCTCTCCTGTGCACCCCTCAGCCTCTACCCGGCTAGGGCTGTTTGCAAACTTCTGTGAAGGAGTCGTCGTGCAGCTGTGTTGCAGAGAACGTCCGTTCTAGCGCGGTCTCTCTGTAGACGGAAGATTTAGATTCGGATCGTCGGACACAAAGCGGACAGAGTCAGGTCGTATTTGTTCGTTTCCTCGTGCGGAAACTGCAACAAACAGCTTTGCCTGCTGCGTGTGCTCTTCTTCGCCATGGAGATCGGAGCAACGGTGCCGCAGGTCCATTGCCCGTCCGCGGACGGCGCGGGAATGCCGCCGCACAGCTGGTCCCAGCTCGACGCGGAGAAGTTCATGGTGCGGCAAGGGCCCAACTATTCCAAGAACAAGCGAAAGGGCAGGAACGCGGGCGGTTCTTTCTACGAGGCGAGGGCGATGGATTGGTATCGCTGTACCGGCAAGGTGGACGGGGTGGCCAAGCTGGCAGCGGCGGAGGGGCTACCCGAGGCGAAATTCAGCCACCCGTCGGTGCCGTCGCTGCTCGTTGTGAACGTGCAGCTGCCGATGGAGGTGAGAGAGGGCTTGCAGCAGCAGCAGCAGCAGCAGCAGCGTACTGTCGGGTTGTTGATGGGTTTTTGTTCGGAGGGTGCACGCGCACACCATCTCGTGGAATGCTACATTCAGCAGACAGCAGTATTAGATGGTTCCGAGAGAGAGCGATGGAGGCACTTGTTGTTGGGTTGCTTGTGTGCCCTGGTGTCCGAAGTGGTAGGATTCGCGAGCAGTGTAGCTCTCTTGCGGTTGGGGTTGACGAGGACCGGTAGCAAGAACAAGTGGAGATTTTTCCTGGCACCCCGGGCGAGCCGTACGACTCGAGTGCAAGTCGGAAACTGTTGGGGGAGCGTTCGAACGGATAGGAGGTAGGAGACTCCGTTGCACTATAAGAAACGAGCACTTGGCATAACAGCGGCAGTGGTGCGCACCTCAACGCTCCCGGTGACTGCATACTGAGATACAAGAAACACACGGATATCGGGCCTGTGTTAAAATCCGGAGAATCCTCAAGTCTTTATTTTTTATGAATACAAAGGAGAGCGGTGTCGTGAGCGTTTTACCATTCGTGAGAGAACGATCGACTTGAAGGATACTAATAGCAAAACATGCTAACAACACAGAAAAACTACCCATTCGAGGTATGACCACTGGATACGTGAGACGTGAACACAGCAGCAGCGTGTTCCTCGCTATATACTCGCCCGTTCGACACCTTAGGCGGTTTCTTTCGGTTTGAAAAATTCCAGTTGAAAAATTGAAATTTTCAATCCCCAGATCCAACTCGGAAAATCTCACTCAAAAATAGAGCAGCCTTCTTACGGATCGACGGAATTGGAAACGCTAAAAACAGGCGGGGGGGGGGAGGTTCACAATTACACCCCCGCCAGACGACGCAACATCATGCCACTAGTCAAACCACGCAACATCATGCCGCTAGTGGAACCACTGCTGCTGCAAGGCGCGAACAACTACTCCGATGCGCTGCTGCGGTCGATACCCGGTTGCGACAAGGCGACAGCCAAAAACGTAAACATCCTTCAGAACGCGGCCATCTGGTACGCGTGCTCCGTGATCAAGCGCGCGAACGGCAGCATCCCAATAGGATACCGAGCGTGCTGTGCGCCGGCGACCATCCTCCTCTTGGATCTAGTGCAAAGCCGCCAACGCGACTGACAGCACTGTTGCTTCCAACAGATCGTCGCCGGTCCCCATATCGGGCGCACCGCGCTGACAACAAAGCACCGGCTCTACGCGTGTGAGGCGCTGTGCTAGGCTGTCACGCGCTGTGCTGTGCTGTGCTGTGCTTTGCTGCTTTGTCGTGCGCTGTTGTGCACTGTCGGGTGCTTCCAGCGACTAAAGCAGGTGTGGTGGGGGGTCTGTGTGATGCACCCCCCCCCCGATAGGTTTGGATTTCCAACTAAATAGCTTTTTCAACTCGGTCGCGACTTGAAAATTTCTGAAATTTTCAACTGNCTCTACGCGTGTGAGGCGCTGTGCTAGGCTGTCACGCGCTGTGCTGTGCTGTGCTGTGCTGTGCTGTGCTGTGCTGTGCTGTGCTGTGCTGTGCTGNACTGCGCAGAGCGTTTCCATTTTTTTTTGGCCCGAGTTGAAAATTTATTTATCGAAAAAATTGATTTTCCAAACCGTAAGAAGCTCTATTCGGCTGGGAATTGAAAATTTCAATTGTTCAACTGGAATTTTTCAAACCGTAAGAAACGGTCTTACGCCGGGTCTCTGCTCACTACCGAATGGTGACACGCTCAACACGGAATCATGAAAATGGAAGCGGCCTCCCCTATTCAGCACTCGTAAACACACGAGAGAGAGTGGACGTGAAGTTGAAGTTGAGTTTTTGCAAGTGCGACACTCATGTTTACCCTCCAAGCAAGTCTCTCCGCGTGCAAGTACCGTTGGGAAGGCCAACACCTGTGAAAGACCAAAGGTTTGAAGGTGCAGGCCAGCTCAGCTGCCGTGCGCCGACGGCTGGCAGTTTAAGCTACGCGAAAATAAACGGTGTTTCCCGTCTTGTTTTTTTTTTGCAGTTTTGCTCAATGCGGTAGAGGAGTCGGGCAAGCGCACCGTTAGCTGCGGCGGATCCGTCGTTTGTCTGCTCCAAGTCGATGTCTGATGCCCCGGTCTTCTACCAAGCCCAGTAATACATTTTTCTCACGGATACATATGATCCCGAAACAGGCAATCCACACATTGCAGAACGATCACACGATTGCTTGTACAGCACCGCGATCCACGAGGTTCGGTTGTCTGGGTGCTCCCCGCTCTCGGCCTTGCTGCCGCGATGACATTGGTTGAAGCTCGGTTACCAATCTTCAAAGATTCAGAAGAGAGGGATGGCGAGCCTCTCTGCAGCAAGAGACGTCGCAAAATCATTTTCAGAGGCGGGTTTTGTGAGCATCAACAACAGTGCACGATCTCACAACAAGAACGCCTACTTGCGTTTGTCAGTGCTGGTCTTAATGGTGTTTGCATGGCCGTACAATACGAGTGTACACGAGCAGTAGGCCCAACTCCCATACTCGGCGAAGTTTTTCAGTGCAGGCGGTGGGACATCTTCTACTCGGGGCAATACAATCAGATGCGCTTGAAACGCACATGTTGCCGTGCGTCACACGCTCACGTTGCCGTGCGTCACAACAGCTTTCCTACCAACGCACTTCCATGTGTTTTGAGTCCGTCATACGACACGGAGATATCGCGTAGCGCCGCCGACTGTTGCACGCCTACACTTCGCCTCGACCCTTTGTCCTATGCCTGCTCCGCACGTCAATAGGGCGTAAGGTCAACACATCATTAGCTCTACGCTGTGCCGAACAAGACGGTGACTAAGTAGTAAATATATTTTCTCAATAACCTGCTGCATCGATTGAGGGTCGACGGTTCATTTCCATTGCAGAACCGAGGAAAAGCAGCAGCAAATAGTGGACCATCTACCCTTTGGTTTCAAGGTTGAGGGTTAGGGTTAGACTCAACGCCCCCACCGCCCCCCCCCCCCCCCCCTCTGAAGACGGCCGCGAANAAGACGGCCGCGAATCGGACGGCGTCAAGGGAGAGACGCGTCCGCCTGCTTGGAACAGAAAACCACGGCGAAATCAGGCTGCAAGCCACCACCCACAAACGTCTCGCCGCCTCGTTGTTTCGCGCGTGTCGCACATTTTGTCGTTACACACAGTCTCCGCAGGCGTTCAAGGGTGCAAAGCTCGACGGGCCCACCCTGCACGGGGTGTTCTACTTCACGCTGAGGGAGGAGACGGCCAAGGCCCTCCAGGATCTAGACTCGGCGGAACCTTCCGTGCGACTACTCGCCGAGTACTTCAGGTTGGTTGGGGTTGTTTCAGGCCTCCTTGTTATTTTTGTTGTCTTGGCGTCCTCGTATTCTGTTTTGCCATCTCGTCGGACTGACTTGTTCGTTTTGGCTTGGTCAGCCCAGCGTCCAGTTATTCTGAACTTGGAGTAAGGCCCCCTTCCGTAGCGTTCTTCAATGGTCTAACGACCAATGACATCAAAACGTGAGTACGCCCCCCTCCCCAACGGCGGTCTTGTGTTCCCTGGTAGTGTTGTTGTTCGTCTCATACTGCTGTGGAAGCCTCCGGGTGGGTCTTCGGGTATGACCGAAGGCCTTTGGGTGTCCGCTTTGGAGAAAAAATGTGGTCTACGCAGGTAAAAAACATGGTTCAGTAGGTGTCCCGATGTAGTGCCGGCATGTGTCCAGGCGATTTGACCAGCACTATACCGGGCACCGGCACTATTCAGATTTGTGCCTGAATGGTGCCAAACGGCACTATTCAGGGCCCGAAAATCCCTCTATAGTGCCGGTTGGCATTATTCAGGACTGTTCGACTTCAAGAATGCGGCGCTTGCGCTCCGCGGGGCTGACAGAGTGCAAAATGAACGGTATTTGGATCAATCGTGAGGTGGGCGACGTGGGCAGGCTTCATTAGGTTTCATGAGGCTCTTGGACTATCGAAAACACGGCATTGGTCACATTAAAATTAACTTGATTGACCAGATAGATTTGTTGCACAGCAGTTGTTGTTTTCCCACCTCAGCGCAAGCACTCGCTAGTGAAACGTTGCTGCTGCCTTTCAAACGTAGACTGTGCTGCCCGATGAAAGTTCACCTCGCTATCAAATTATTATGTGTTGTATTGCACGAAGGCCGTTGCACTGTTATTCTTCAGGCAACCTCAAAGGCACCCCGGACAGCGAAAGAAAGGCGCTCATGCATGCACCCGGTGTACCGTAAAAGTGCGTGTGATGACACCGGGGTGCGATCGTTTCTTGAATCATTCCTATCTTGATTTTTTATCGCACCCCGGTGCCATAACACCGATAGGTGCCATAACGCGTATTGTTGTTGTTGTTTTTCTTCACATTAACTCGTGTCAGTTGCTAATCCCAAAATCTAGCAAAGACTCGGTCCGTGGTCACAAAAATGCTAGAGCCATCAGAAGATCTGAAGAACACACACACTGTTAGCAAGGAAAGGGTACGCAAGCCCGAGGAGGTACACCTGCATTCCCTGCAGCACGTTTGCGTGCTCACAACTGAACTACGTATACCGGTGCGGAAATGCAATGAAAAACTAGATTTCGAACGCACCCCCGGTGCGATGACACCGATAGGTGCGATACTCAAGAAACGAACAGGCGTAGGTGTCTTCATCTTGCGTGCTGTAACTCTTGCAGTAGGACCTTGCGTAGACAGTACCATGCAACCAGCCGGGAGTGGTGATAGTGATGAAGTCGAATCCGAGTTTGGGGTGGCATGTGCCAAAGGGAACAGACGCTGCGGTTCCCTGCTGGGCAAGGTATGTTTACGGCGGGGTATCGTTTTTCTTCCAGCCTCTTTGCTGGCCGCAAGCCCCTCTTTTATTGGCTGGTGCTTCCCTCTTGCCTTCGTCTACCTCAAGGGGAAAAGTACCGGTACAAATGTAGTACCGTCTACGAACTCCTTGCTCGGTTGGTTGGAGGTTCGGGATGTGTACTGCTGTGTGCTTGGTTGAGTGAGTCAGTGCGTTCGATGTACGAATTACCGTAGAAAAAAAATGTATATCTCTACTGCGCAAACCACGACGGCACGATATACGTACATGAAATGGCGCCCCAATTGGTACCTGCCAACCGCGTTACATACCGTTCGACACGTGGCCCAGAGGGTACCGGTACCTTGCCGAAGCACGCAAAACTTCGTCCCTCGCAGGTTTTATATCGTTGATAACGCGCCGGGTGCGATAACACCGATACCGGTGCGGAAATACAATTAAATCATGCCGTTCTTGACATTTTTGCGCACCCCGGTGCCATAACACCGATGGGTGCGAAATCACCGATGGGTGCCATTACACGCACTTGTACGGTACATGTAGAGGTAAAACATGGATGGACGCAGTGCTCCTTACATGAGCACACAGAAAAAACAGATGGAACCTAAAAAAGGGGTCAAGAAGATAACGAACTCCCCTGTTCCTTCGATAATTCCATGAAAAGCTAGAGAGAAGGCCAAGCCTTGAGAAGCAAGGAGAACGACTGGCCAACCAAAAGACGTCGTCAGTCTCAGTGCGGTCAAGAACAGAAAATATTTGTTTTTGTCAACGAAGTGAGAGGATGTCATGGAGGAGGCTGAGCTATTCTCTGGATAAAAGATAGAAATGGTGGCAACCGAGAGAGGACAACTATGTGACTGCCAAGGTTTAGACTACTGCTTTTGAACACGCGTTTGTTCGGAGTGTTTTCATCCTTCCTTAGAAGTTTATTTTTTACCACCACTACTGTAAATACGTCCAGACTAATACTTTTCCACTATTTTTCGGGCTTTCATCTCTGGATTCTGCGCCCCTGCGGCGTTTGTTGTGAGCAAGGTCGTCTCGCTCGAAACTCTTGTTGTTCCCCTCAACGCCATATTTTCCTCCTGCATCATCACTGCTATCCTTGGCTATAGTTTCCATATCCATCCTTCGTCACTACCACCATCTCTTTTCCGCTCGCCTCCCTATTGAAATCCCAGCCTATTGGTGGAACCTAGTCGATCGGTAAACCGTGACATTTGAAGACGTCACGCGTACCGAGAGAAACCGAGCTATACTTGTAGCTCGATTGGAAACTGTCTCCGAATCCTGTTGGCATGGAAGGCTTGAGGCAAAATAAGGCTGTGTGTGGGGTGTGAACCGGCACTATTGAGGGGTTCGATAGTGCCTGGACCGGCACTGTAGCGGGCAGCCCTCAATAGTGCCGGTTTGGCACTATTATTCAGGCCTGTCTCTGTGTCAAGAAAAAATGCCGGCACTATACCGGACTTTGGCAATATTCAACCGGCACTAAATCGGGACACCTACTGTGTTGGATGATGGAGTCGCGCGAACTTCGGAGGTTGCGGTTACAGGATTAGGGCCTACATAATATTCATTTCATAGATAAACTTGATTTCTTCGCGCAAGCAGTCCCAAAAAAAAGGTCGAATGGCGCGATACCCGAGGTAGTCCCGTGTCACCTCGCAATATCCACGAACCGCCCGCGCAATTGTTCAACAGGCGAGCAGAGTCGGAGCCGGAGATGAGGACGCGGTTCAAGGCGATAGCGGTGGTAAACAACCAAGAAGTAATCAACATGGCGCGCTTGATAGCCCCCTTCAACGGCAAGCCCGTCCTCATCACGGAGAGCGGGACGCTGATGAGGGGCACACGCAGACCGGGCGCAGAGGAGGAGGGGGCTCCGGGTTCTGTTGCCGGGGCGGAGGGCGATAGCGGTGGGAGCAACGGCGGTCGCAGCAGTAGTAGCGGCGGCAGCAGCTTTGGGGCAGACGAGTTTATGGAGCTGGACATTCACGTGAGGCGATGGAACTTCATGGCGCGCAAGGGCCTCAGCAAGCTCACCCCCAAGTTCGGGTTGATAAACGTCAGCGTCGCCTTCCTTGTGGAAGGAAGAGAAGACAGCGAGGTAAGTCCATTAAAAGGCACCATTGAAAGGCAGGCCAAGCATGTGTGCATGTTTTTCTTTTTTTTTTCTAGCATCGACCACGCCAAGCTGCAGATTAATGGAAAAACGTAAGTCTAACGGCAATGCGGCTATAGACGGAAAAACACTTCTGGGGACCCCGTGCGTGTACGACGCGCGCGCGTGTGTGTGTTTCTTCGAATAGCATCAACCGCGCCAACCGGCTTACCACTGAAAAAGCACGCCAGTCTTGGTCAAAGGGACAACGAATCACGAACACGCTGTGTGTTTTGAGCGGGTCCAGACACACACCTCGCTGTCGCTTGTTCGCTGGACGTGTCATTCGTTCGGGCTGCACCACCCCCCCCGCCCCCCCCCCCCCCAAGGNGCCAAGGGCCCGCCAAGGGCCCGCCTTGCTGTCATAATGTCGTTGTGGCGAGCGGCTTGGGTGCACTGCCGTGACCGGCACCGAGATTCCGCCGGTGCCACGCGGGCTGTGTCCGCGTTTGAAGACCAGAGTCATCATTCAATCGTTCCCACCACCCTGCTTGTGACCCAGTCTCTAGACCCGCATCGTGCGTGTAAACAACATGGAGAGTTTGTAATTTGAGTTTCACCAGGGCAGCGTCACCATCACACCAGAGCGAAGCGAATATTTTGTAGCTTGCTTCTCGGAAGGGAGAGCTGGTGCTTTATCACGCATCTGTTGATGAAGGACTTCGGAGAGCATCCAGATCCAGCCTGGAATCGACCCCCCCCCCCCCCCCCCCCCCCCCCCCCCCCCCCCCCCCCCCCCCCCCCCC